GAGTCCACTATTCAGCCCACAATGCACAGTGAACCATTTGCGCTGTAGTCTTCTCAAAAGTGGCCTTGTTGCCTATAACAAGGTGTCTTTTTACTAAACTGCCAGTGGCATGAGCTTCCTGGAGGGCTTGGTCCTTTTCTTTCTCTCTGTGATGCTCAGGAGGCCCCATCTGGTCCTATGCTACTGCTGCAGCATCCCCTGCTTTTGTCCACCCTGGGCTTCTGTCCACCCCGGGTTGCTGCCCAAGCTGGCATCAGGCCTTGGCCCTGAGGAGGCCATTTCTGGCTGCAGCACTCTGCCCCTCTGCCCTCTCTGTCCACCTGCTGGCTGCAAAAGATGTCTCTGTTTCCTATTATCTATCTTTTATTTTGCCCTTTAACTTATGTATACTTTGGATTTCTCACATAAGACAAACCATGTGATAGTTAAGCTTGTGTGTCTGATTCATTTCACTTACCATTATGGTCTCAAGGTGCATCCATTTTTCTATAACTGACTCAAATTTATCCCTCTGCACAGCTGCCTTCTCCCGGAGGCTGCCCGCTCTGCACACTAGAGGACACATGACTGTTTGCCCCCTGAAGTATTCCCACCCCCCACTGCTGCGGCTCCTGACTCTTGGGTGGTCCCTGCTTGTGGACCCATGCCAGGGTCAGCAGCAGTACCTTTCTCAGCATAAGCATTGTTTCATTTCTCTCAATGAACAGGAAGAGGGTCAGCGCAAGGCATCAATGCATCACAGCCTTTTTATTCTTGACCCAAGACAGGCTGCAGAACATTCAAAACTGACCCACACAGCCTGCTGCTTCCAAAAGTAAGACTTCTAATTCTTTTCAACATCCAAGAAGTCCTAAGGAGTCCACCTGCAGGCTGCTTCAAAAAAAGAAAGATAGTATGTCCATCAGCGGATGAATGGATAAGTCAAATGTGGTACTTACACACAGCGGAGTACTACTCCATCAGAGAAGGGTAAATTTGAGTCGTTTATAGAAAAATAGGTGCATCTTGAGACCATAATGGTAAGTCAAATAAGATACACAAGCTTAACTATCACATGGTTTGTCTTATAGGAGAAATCCAAAGTATAAATAAATTAAAGGGCAAAATAAAAGACACATAATGGGGAACAGAAACATCTTGTGCAGAAAAGGAGGCCAAGAGATGAACGGAGAGCAGAAGGAGGAGAGAGAAGGCACGAAAGAAGAATTAAGATGTGTTATGTACACATCCCAACTCCCCATGAGGAATGTTATCATTATGTACTGCAAACATGTACTAATAAAAAAAGACATTCTCTCACTCTGACCCATCATATGATCTCCCTATGGCAGAATGGTAGCCTTTGGAAATCCAGTCATAATTCTATGTTCCCCTCCGGGGTAGGGGCAATGTCAGGCTTTCCCTATAGGGTTACAGCTGAAGCTCTGTTCAGATTCTTCCCAGGAGTGTGACAGGCATCGCACTGCCTCCCATTTCTCAGCACATACTGTATCTCCCAGAGATGGCCCACTGGTCATACTGTTAGAGCCACTCAACTACAGCGGTCAGGGTCTAAGTCATGCATCTCACTCAGTCCCCACAAGAAAAGGGAAAAAACATCATGAATTGTATAACGAGCACTGGGGCTGCCTCAGAGCTGCAAAAGGGAATCTGGGGAACATGTCTATAAGAAAGCACTTAATACATATTAAGAAGACAAGGAAGGAAGGAAAAAAGGACGGAATGAGGAAGGAAGGAAAATAGGAAGGAAGGAAGAAGGAAGGAAGGAAGGAAACAAGAGAAAAAGAAATGGGGAAGGAGAGAGCAGAAAAACAGGAAGAAATGAGAGAGGGAGGAAAAAAGAAGGAATGAGAGAAGGAAGAATAGAGAGAGAGAAGGAGGAAAGAAGGAAGGAGAAGAAAGGATGCAAAGGGGGAGAGGAAAAGGAAAAGGAGAAGGAAAAAAGAAAGGCCATGCTCCCCCAGAGCTTCCCATAGTACTTTAAACACAAGAGGTACTCAGTAAATGCTTGCTGAACTCAATCGAACTGCTCGGGTATCTTCAGTAGCGTTTTTCCTACCCTTGCCTCTCTTTCTAAGCATTTTGTTCAGACAAAAGCCAATTCATTCAGCACACAGGGCTCCTGCCAATAGCAGGGCCTGCCCCGACAAGGGAGGACAAAGGAATCCACACCCTGTCAATCTGGTTCCCTTGGACAAGACTCTGCAGTCTGGGAGATAAAAATAGTCCTAGCAGGTAATTCGCTCTTGGGTTGAAGTGATTGGGTTTTGTTCATAAACAAAGTAGCTGAGCATTTGTGCCACTCTTTTTGTCTGTGTGTTAAAGGCCTTAAGAAGCACAGCCAAATGCAAACAGTGGAGAGGTGTAAATAAACAGCCACTGTGCTCGGTGCCAGGAAAGGGCAAAGTGTGACTAAAGAGGAAAAGGTAGCAGGTAAACTTCCTCCTAGCATTTCCCTGGCTGCCCAGAGGAACTGATTCCTCGAAGTAGCTACATTCACAGCATCGTTCCTCTGTGCTTCCAAAATGCCATTACCCAGACCTGGAGAGAAAAGAGGGCCCGCCTTCCCTAGGGAATATTAGGTCTGTGGAGGTCACGTTTCAGGCATGTGAGGATTATGCTTTGCTTCAGTGTCTGCTTCGATTTTTCCTAAAAGATGTAACTATAGAAACGCACATTTGCAGCATTAATCATGGGGAATAATGGTTATTTTCACCATTGCTGTGAAGGCCACACTGCGGCTGAGTGACGGGTCAGTAGTAGATCAACTTTCCATCTTGTAAACTGTACCCAAAAACCCAAAGCACTCTGCATTCATCACCAACTCGACATCATAATCACTCATCATGGTTTCAAGAACACCATTTCTTTCCCTATCTCAATGGGATATCAAAGGCCCCTTTCAAGTACGAACATACATATTTCATTCTGATCCCCGTGACCGCTAACATTAGTCTTTACACATCTGTCAATTAATTTTACCCGGAAGGACTCTTCCTAACGACGCCAAAGGCACTGGACCCTGTCAAACAACAACATTACATCAGTCTCCCTCCACTACCTGGCCATACTTAGAGCTGAGACGGATGGACAATGGAACCAAAGTATTCCTGGAGTGACATTTCCAGACCCCCTGCTCACATTAAAATCAAATATACAAAGCTCAGCCTGCTGCTCTGACAGTGTGGACCTCCCCTGGATCCACCTGCAATCCTCTTGTTGCATTGTAACAAAAACTTCTTGAGGTTTAACTTTCACGTATTCCTTGACTATTAGTAACTTCTTTTTACCATGCACATGCTGTGCCTCGTAGGGTCTCAGTGATAAGTTATGAGTGCTACCAAAATCTTCTCCGTGTTGACTCTGGGCAAGAGATAGTACGGGGCCACTGACAGGCATTACAACAACGATGCCGCATAGGATCAGGAAGCCTGAACAACACACTCATTCCTGTTTGTCTTCACCTTCTTCTGGACATGCTCGTTTACCACCTTCTACCTCCAGTGTATGTAAACAGGAGCTGTTTGCTTAGCTGAGGGAAACTGCGGGAATTGCAAATGCGGGTTACCAAGACCTGAGGTGTGTTCCCAGAAAACCCAAAACCTTTACCAAAGGATGCCTTTTGTCTCCGGAGAAAGTTGTACAAACATTTGTGAAGCATTATTCTTAATCCTTTTTCCAACTACAAAATTTATATATACGATATATATTTCATACACAAGTATATATATTTCATACACAAGTATTTATAAAAAATTTTAAATGAAGAAACAATTAGATTCCTCTTTAATGTCACTAGCCAGATAATCAGGATCGATACTTTGGTGTGTGTTCTTCTAATCTATTTCCTATATATATACATCTTTTATTTTCATAATGGAAATTTATGCCTTTAACTTTTTTCTCAACACATGTCAACATGTCATTAAACATTTAATAATATATGAGAGATAGGTATCTTTGCAAATTTAATAGATAAAAAGAGGTGTGTCGAGTTAATTTCTTAGAATACTACTAAGGTTAATATTTTCAACCATTTAATATTTTTAAATTCTTTAACTTCAACCAGAACAGACCAACAAAAAATTAGAGACAACACAGCACTGAAATAGCACTGCTAGCAGTTGTGTTTTACATCCTCATAGGGTAAAACTTGGTAAACATATATGATTTTATAGTGCATGGATTTTTAAGTCTTCCTTGAAGGTACATGCACTATACCTGGATTTTTGTTTGTTTTTTTCATTCCACAACATTTTAAGAGAGAGCCAGGAATGTAGCACTGGTAGATTGCTTCTCTACATTACCACAGTCCTAAACTGGAACTCCAGTGTCAAAAGAAGAAAAGACTTGGGAAGTTAAAGGAGCAGGAGCGCGTGCAGAGGAAGCCGCGAGGGCACCCGGCCTGCAGCGCAGCGAGGCATGCGTAAGGCAGAAGGACGCCACCCGTGGTGCTTTCTGCTTTTTGCTTTTGCTTTTTTATGCACACCCTCCCTCTCCCTCTCTCCAAGGGAACTAAACATTTGCTTTTGTCCTAAGCCAAGGTCCAAAGAGCGCTAGTAACAGCCAACAAACTTGACACAAAGCGACCTCTGCCACACCTGGATATCGCGGATGCTCGCTATGGGAAAGAGCCGCCCGGTCCCCACCGCGGGCCGCGAGCGGCCCTCCGGCAGCCGGCGGAGGGGCGGCCGGGCGCAGACGCAGCAGGGGCGGTGCCCTGAGCCATTGCTTTTGCATTGCACTTGCGCCCTGGTGGGTGTGACTGCCCTCTCTCGCCTGGGAAACGCAAAACTCAAGAAACCGCCACTCGCGCCCTGAAAGCTCACGAAAGCGCTCCCGGGCCCCCAAATGCTGAAGCTGGGCCCCCAAATGCTGAAGCTGAACCGCCGGATCACAGCCTGTGCCCCATCACTGCCACCTCCGCGCTAAGCCCGGAAGACGCGGGGCCGCGCATGCGCGCGAGGGCGGGGTGGGGGCCGCGGAGGCGCGCACGGTACCGGCTTCTCCATGGCGCTGCGCGGCGCTCTCCGCGGGGACTCGAGCCGCGGTTTCCACGATCTGGCCGGGGTCCCCGGCGCCGCCGCCGCCGCCGCCGCCGTGCCGGCCCGCGCTGTCCGCGGAGTACACTTGGGCCGCGCGTCCTCGGGCTCTCCCGGCTGTTTGCGGCGCCCGGCGTTGCCATGGCGACGCGTGATGCTCCGCCTGGACCCAGCTGCTCCCCCCTTTCCGGCCCGGGGCTGCGCGGCGGTGCGGACCAGAGGAAAGCCCAGAGCTGCAGCCCGGCCTGCAGGCCATCGCTCCCGCTCTCCGTCGGGTTTCCGTTAGCCAGCACCATCTGTAGCCACATCCAGTTACTTGGATTAAGTGTCTCTGGCTTCAGGAGAAAAAGAAAACTCAAAAGCAGAATTTAGAGGGTTTCCACTCCAGTTTGCCCAGTTTCCCACAGCCTGGAATTAAAGTTAGATTCCTCTCGTCGCTTTGTTGTCCGGCATGTTCACTGCTGTTTCTTCTTAGTCTTCAGTGGGAATGTTTAACCTGGAGTTTTAACCCGGAGGTGACAAAACACTAAACACTGCCCGCCTGTCTGACATGACGCCCAAGGAACTTCGCCGTACAGGACTTTCCAGAGGAGCACGCTGTATTCCCCATCTGCAAACTCCTCTCAGCCGGGCCAGCAGTGTCCAGCAGGGACATAAGGTGCGGCGTCCATGTAAGTTCATATTTAATGGGAGCCATATTTTAAAAAGTAAAACAACAGGTGAGAATAATTTCATGTTTCATTTAACCTAATGTATACAAAATATTGTTTCAGTATGCCAGCAGTATAAAAATGAGTCGTGAGACCGTTAACATTCGTCGTTCGCAGTCCTCACGGTCTGATGTGTGTTTACAGTCACAGCACACTACAGTTCAGCACCCCACATTTCAAGTGCTGGACCACCAGGGGCACGGTGGCTACTGTCCTGGGCAGGGCGGGTCTACTAAACCATAACTTCTAGAAGGAACAACCCCAAGGCCTGATGAAGAGGGAGGCTGTTGCATTTGCTCAGAAGGCCTCTCAAACACTTGATTAACTCACACAGTTGTCTCTTCTTACCAGGAAAAGTTTTTAAGCAGCATCAACAATCTTCAGAAATTAAGACTATTTACAACGATGTTTAAACCCTCTGACTTTATAAGCAGTCTGTGTAATCTTGCCTGAAAGGCCCTCTTTGCCGTGGGACACTTTGCATGTTTGCAGGAAGAGGATGCTGACCTGGGACTCAAGGCAGCTGAGTTCCCTCCCACGCTGTTTTGGAGCCAGCGCTCAATAGGATTTACTCTTCAATAGAGATGAAAACTCAGCCTGGTGAAGGAAAACAGCTGCAGGCGAAAACACTAGCGGTGGAGAGTGGGTCTGAGAAGGGGCCAAGGAAGCTCGCTCTTCTGGTGATCATTGTGCGTTAACTCAGTTTGTCTTTGCTCTAAATCTGCCCATCACCACTGCCCTGATCGCAGAGTAAACACAGAGAGATGAGCTGGCTCGCCCAAGGCTACATAGCGGAAGAATAGAACGGCCGTGAGGCTGGTAGTTTGGCTCACAAGTTCACAGCCTCTGTCGATATTAAGATTATAGAAGGTCCTGGGGAAAGAGGGAGAAGCTTCCAAAATATCGGCTCACCAGCGCGGGTCGGCCTGATTGCAAAAGTTTCAGAAAGAAAGAGTTACCACTGGGCAAATGCAACCTGATTGTGCTCCAGTCCGTGCCATCTGAGGCAAAATTCTGAACTCGACCTTTTCGTTTTTGATATTCCTTTTTCTGCTAAAATTGTCTTGCCGTCAGAGGAGTGTGTGCTGTTAGGGATCCCCAAGCTACAGCAGACTTCTCTGGGTCTGGCCTGGGTCCCAGACCTTTGTCAGCCATGCTGGTCCGCCAGGAGTACTTAATGACTCCCTCCCCTGGGCACTGCCTCGGTGGGACCTCCCCCTGGCTTCCTGATGAATATAGACGAATTGCTGAAGTGAGAAGTTGTTGGGCAGAGTGAGGTAGCCGGCTCAGCCACTGCATGCCTTTCCCACAGCTGTACCCTTAAACCTACCCTTCTGGAGATGGAGTCAGGGAGATGATTCCTCATGGGCTAGTGAGGAAGATGATTGGGGTGGAGGAGCTCTCAGACTCCGTAGGTCTTTCCTGCCCTGACCATGGCTGGAGACTTCTCCAACACTGAGGAATACACAAGTCTTGCAGCAGGAAAATAATAAGAGAAAGAGATTGACGGGGTGACTCCCTTTGGCTGATTATTGGAGAATTCTATTAACTCTGTTTTTTTCTCTAAAATATTTTAAAGTAAACTTCAACCTAAAGCCCCTACTAAATGATACTTGATAAATAAATACTTGTTAAATCTTTTAACAAGATATGCATGCTTGATACTTCTGTTGCCCAGCACACAGTAGTTGCTCAAAAAATGGGTCTTGAACGTAAGAAGGCTAAGAGAATGAACATGAGGTGATTGATATCCTTGTCTGCCCACATTGTAGCATAGACACCAAGACTAATTGCATAGAGCTGTAATATTTCATGTCTGAGAATAACCAATCCAGATGATGATTTCATTTTATAGAAAAGAGTGTCATTTTATGGAAAAGAAAACAGGACTGACTCATAGGAGACCACATAGCTATTAGCTGACTGAAATAGGGCTCAAAATCAAGCCATCTTTTTTGCTGTGTTTTAGTACATGGCAGTACTTAAAAAATCATACATTTCTTCTCTAAGTTTGAATTTCAGGATCATGGGATTGTGATTCACAATCCTCTGCCAACTCCCTGATGTTCCATAAAATTTATTGTTTTTATCCATCATTACAGTCATATAGTAGTAGCTTCTTTCTGTTTTACAAATGAGGGAGAGAAGGAAGCAGAGTAGGAAAGAAAGAGAGGTTGACAAAGTGACTCATTTGACTGATGATTGGATAGAATTCTATTAACTCTTTACCTCCACAATTTTTAAGGAAAACTCATAAACTACCATGAACTATGGGCTAGTAACATCAACATATAATGAAGGAATTCTTGGTTCAAAGATGAATATTAAATTCTCATTTAAACAACTTAGCAATGGTAGAAGTTCCTCTTGGTGGTCTAACCCACTTACACTTCAGTGTCATTCACCTTTGCCTATCTCTACTAGGGAGATAGGAAAGAGTAAATACGTCCTAGCCTCCTTTGCTGTGGGTGGTCATGTGACATGGCTGATGAATCATAACAGCACTCTACTAAGGTCTATGGAATATTCTTGACTTACTAATGAAGAGATAGACTGTATCAGTCAGCTTTCTTACTACTTGGACAAAACACCTGAAATCCCCAGCTTAAAGGAGGTTTATTTTGGCTCGTGGTTTCAAAGGTTGCAGTCCATGGTCAGCTCCAAGGCACAGACATCATGGCGAGGGGCATGGTAAAGGAAAACTGTTCCCTTCAAGGCACTTGGAAGCAGAGAGGGCAAACAAAAGCCCAAGTGAGAGATATACCCTCCAGAGACAAACACCCAGGAATCCACTTCCTCCAACTGGACCCTACCTTCTAATACCACATTCAGCTAGATCCCTATCAGTGGATTAATCCAATGATGAATATAGATCCTCTGTGATCCAATAACCTTCCAAAATCCCTACCTTTGAACACAGGAGACTTTGGGGGAGCATTTTATATCTAAGCCATTATACAAACCCAACTACTTTCACACCTTCCTCCAGGTAGAATGCAGCCATTATACCTGTAAAGTGTTGCAGTCAGCCATGTTATGCCCATGAGGGAAAACTCATTTGAATAACAGATATGAGAACCTGGATATCTTTGAGTTTCTGAATCAACAGTAACAACTGCCTCTCCCAAGCCCACTTGACATGTGGGGAAATTAAATCTCTGTTTGTTCAGAGCAATCTCAGTTGTGCTTTCTATTACTGAAACAGGAAGCGTTCATAAGTGACACAGCAGTTGTCAACTCTTCTTATTTTTGTGGGTCCATTTCATTTTACAAATAGAAGAGTTATAAGCTGTATAATTAGAAAATAGTTCTACCCCCTCCAAACTGCAGAGCAGGGTCAGTGAGTGAAATCTCTCACCGGTTTTGTTCACATCCACCTAAGATCGATGCTGAGAGGGTGGGTGGCATCCCTCCCACTCTGTAACTGCTGCCCTGGTACCCAGAACCCCACTGTCTCTTTTGGAGACGGGATAAGAGGACTTATGTCCTTGGGTGTTGAAGTAGGTCATACTAGCTAAGCAAAGCCTCCAGACACGGAGACATCAGCATTGCTGGAAATGAGGAGGCCCACACCGAGCCATCCTTGGGATGCTCTGGCCTCGTGATAACGGGAGGTCCATGCCCCTGTGGGTGCCATCCTCAGCTCCCCGAGAACTTAGCTGCTCAGGCCGCACCTTCCAGTCTTGCCCAGCTCTGCTTCCCTGTCACTAACAGGCAGAAATGCCATGACAGTGCTGCATGACGTTCAGGCTGCACTACCACGCTGACTTTTATGGAGGAGCGATACCAAGGTACTGCAGAGGACCTTTGTCCTCTTTGGTTGACCTCAATCCGAATCTCCTTCTAATATTTGAAGAATTTCCTACCAGGCAGAGCCTTCCATCCTCTTTAGAAACGAAAAGTCCTCAGGACTTTCCCACTCATTCTTGTATGTAGGGGTTAATTATGTGACCCAGACATGACCACCCGAATGCTCTTGTCTTGGACTTCAGTCAGAAACTGGTGACCAAAAGCACAGAACGGTAGACAATACATTCTGGCAGCTGATGGCAGTAGTAACAATAGCACTGAATTTGCAAGGGCTGTTGTAGCAACAGTGGCCTCCGAATCTGTGTGTCCAGGAGCCACCCAGCGTGGTAACAATGTCCACCACGGACTGCTGGCTTTGCGGCAGGATGTCTGACTGTGCTCTGGCTGCAAATGTTCTCAGCCATTTTCTGAGCCTTACTGCCCCGCTTTGTCAGCTATTCTGAGCTGCCTAATATCCTTGTCTTTTTTTTTTTTTTCAGTACTGAGGATTGAGCCCAGGGCCCTCACACTGAGTTGCACCTCCAGCCCTTTTTTGACCTTTTATTTGAGTTTCATGAAGTGACTAAATGAAAGCCCAGGCTAGGCTTGATCTTGCAGTTCTCCCGCCTCAACCATGCTGAGATTATAGGCATGCACCATGGCACTGAGCTTCCTTACCCTATTAATACACTCTTGTGGATTTTTGTTATGGGTTCTTTGTTGTTGTTTCAGTTGGTGATGTTCACTCACTGTTGCTTGCAATTAAGAATCTTAATAGACACAGCCACACATTTGATGCTACCCTGTCCTTTAAGTCTGTCCCCAATACTCACACATGGCTGTTGTATGTCAGTGAACCTTATACAAGTTTGGCAATACCAGTGAATGGAAGAAATTATGGAAATAGAGAAGGAATGACTTAAAGTAGCACAATAACATGACCTCAGATTTAGGGAAGAGAGACATGGTTTGCTAGTTCCTAAACTCATTTTCAGTCTGGAAAAGTGTATTACTAGCCACAGGTCTACAGAGGAACAGAACCAGTAAGAATTATGTGTATATGTATATGTGGTCATACTGCATATACATATATATGCATATACATATATATATATATATAGTTTGCAGACAGAGAGAGAGAGAGAGAGAGAGAGAGGGAG